TTCTTTATTAAAAATAGGATCTGACAGAGGTAGGATGGGTTTTGGGACAATCATAAATGTGAGGTTTCATTCCTTTCTGAAAGTTATATAAGGAATATATAAATAAAAACAATTTTTCTTCATTTAATAAAATAATAATTTATTTATATCATTTTCATATTATATTTCTTTTTACATAAATTTTGGAGTCCTTGTTCCTTCCCCCTGTCTCTTTTTCTCTGGATTTTTTTTAACAATCTAATATATCCAATTTTATTTTCTTTAAAATTGAAATTTAATTTAATTTATTCATGTTTCAATGAGAATAAAAATATTTCAAAACTGTTAATGAAGTAGATAAGAGAAACCTTCTAAGATTTCCAAATATTTCAGCAATTTATAAGTTAAAATAGTTATTCAATTAAGTACATTAATAGTTTATGAGTCAAATTTGTTGAGTGTCAAAATTAATTTTTTATATTTGGATAAGTTTCTTTATAAAGATATTACACTGAATGCTTGGAATGAGATTTAAACTCCCAAAACTTTTTCATTTGATAACAATTATAGGCTAATTAAAATTATTTCATATGCCATTCTTTTCCTACAATTTTTTTCATTAACTTAATATTTATTTATTAACTACTTAAATTCTCAAAACTTATATTTATAAATTAAGTAAATTTAACTAAAGTATTTACCATAATCAAAAATGTTTCTGTAACTAAATAAATTATTATATTTTACTCTTTAGATAGATAGTTATTTACCACTTATGTCACTATAACAAAAATATAACCACTTATATTTTTGTTATAGTGACATAATGTAACAATGTAATTTTTTTTTATATAATCAGTATTACCGGATATTGGCTAAAAAATGGAAATTTTAATGATATTTTATGTAACTTTCTTAGAGAGATAACACTTTTATATATCAAAAGCAATTAGTTTTTCTATTTTAAATGCAAAAATTTAAATGGATAAATATAATTTAAACAAGACAATGATAGTGGTCTAGGATAATATTGATTTCAGTTGCAATGTTTTGCTAAAATGTTCGATTACATTGATTTTTGTAAATCTGCTTGAAGATTGTATTAAATATTCTAATAAATTATGATAATACTAATTCCTATCAGTAACTATTTTTGCAAAATTCTACATATAATATCTTAATAATAATTACCCTGGTATCATCATATATTATTTGTTTGTTGTTTTCTTTTAATAAATGTGATAAGATTTAGTAAATAAATTCAGAGAATTTAGTTACTTTACTAAACTTTAATATTTTCAAAATGCTTGTTATTCCATCTTTAAAGCATTTATTGTAATAAATGTATTTTAAAAATGTTAGTTTTGTAACATACCAAAACTTCTGCACTGATTGATTTTTTAAAAATATTTTAAGTTCGATCAATGTTAAATGTGCTAGAGAACAAATAGAGTTGTTGGAAAATATAAGAAAATGCAATTAATTATTTTAAAAACTTGAAACATAGATTATTCCAAAAATTATTTTTTGGAGAAGATACTGTTATACAGTAATGATTGAGATAATCATGAAATAGTGATATGTGGATATCCTGTGAGTTCTGTTTTGTGAGTGATGTAATGGGAATATTTGCATTAATATCTTTAAAAAATGTGTGTGTGACAGAATGAATGTATTGTTTGAAATGAATGTTTATTGATTTATTTTAAGAAGGATATTTGTTCCAAAGAACATTCAGTTATTTTTCTTTTGTTGGGCTGCATTTTGAAAAAATTGTAGACCTATAAATTTCCACTATCCTTCCATAATCTTGAGATCAGAGTTAGATAGATGAAAGCCAAGGCCAAATATGGAAAGTTTAGGAACAGGAGGACCTGATTAACTATATACAAACTTTTGATGCAGACAGGAAGTCACATTATTTCAATTAAAAAATTTTCTCCTGAAAGGAGTTAGATGACCAGCATGACTCTATTGCTAACAGGAAAAGTATGATGTACAGAGGAATGATATTACTAATTTGAGGTGGAGAGCATATATTTTAAATTTAATAAATTTAAAAAATATGATTTAAAAATTGTACACAATAAATAATTGCTCGCTTCTTTTTATTATATTATTTTTCTTGCATACTTTTTTCATAATTTGTATAATTGTTTTCCAGTTATTTAATAATTTTTTCTTAATTTTTAAGATTACAAATTTATTTTTGTTTTTTCTAGAATTTTTATAGAGTTTACAGTACTTTAATTTTTTATTTAATATTATTATTACAGTTTGACAATTTGATAATTATTTTTTGTTTTTATTAAATTTTTTAATTTTACAAATTAAGAAAACTAATATAATTATTTTTAATAATTTATTGTAATCACATTAATTGTATGTAATACTTTCAAATGTACTAACAAACAGAAAGATACCATCTTGAAAATATCTTTATCTGATTAAGCTAATGAATTTTGAGGCTGTGGAGAGAAATTTAATAGTTTTACATTTTTTATCATTTGTTTTTAACTAAGATAAGCAATAACTGGATTAATTCAAGTTAAGAAACTAAACTATTAATGTCCTAGGTGTAATTTGTACAAACAAACAAATGCTTTCAGATAATTTAATTACCTATCATCAGGTTCAAACACAGAAAGATACTGCTTTGAATTCTGTAGTTTTTTTTTATATTTAGAACCTGATGATGGCTAAATTAAGTTAGCAAAAGTATTTGTTCATGCAGAAATTATATGCAGGACATTCAAGGTTTAGTTTTTTAAATATTTTATTTTATTTCATTATAGAAAAAAGTAACTGAAGAGTTAATGAATAAATTTATTATAAATTAATTTCATAGAGCTGAAAATTAACTATATATTACTTGTGAGCAATGATTAAAATGACAAATTATATGAAAATATGAGTTTTATTAAAATGAAAAATTGTTTTTCATGAATTTTTAATGAAAATATTTTTCATTAAAATAGAGTTTGCATATATGATTAGGTGTGTTAAAATTTACTTATTAAAATTTAATTTTTAAAAATTTAACTTAAAATTATTTTTTTGTTATTAATGGAAACTTCTTTAATTTATAGTTACGTAGATTTTTAAAAAATGTAATAAAAGCATTTAATAAAAGCATTAAACTACATAAATATAATTTTACATTTTTAAATTTAAAGAGTGTAATGCTGTATTTTTAAATCATTTTTAAGAAACCAGAATCAAATAAATTAGTGTAAAAATATCAATATATATAAATTTACATAAAATATAAGATTTAACCTTTACTAGTGAGTATGTAATCAATAACTGCCTTCAGTTTGATTCATTTTACCTTCAAAATAAAGACTTAGAGCTAATGATAATCAATCTAAAGATGACCAAATATAGAAAAACGAAAATACCTTTATTTTTGATTCGTTAATAAATGTGAAAATTTTTCCAATTTATTATTGTCTTTAACCCATTAAGGTCAATATATTTTGTAAGTTTGAAGTACAATTGGTCTATAAAAATTAAAGAGAAAAAATTGTCCTTTTAGAATTTATTATATTATTTTGTAAAAAATGAAAAAGAAAAATTGCTGTTTTTTAGATTTTACGTTTTTGTCAATACATTTTTGTTTTTTCATGTTAGTATTTCATTCCTAATCAATATTTTGTTCAAAGTTCAAAATGCATTAAGTTTGGAGATTTGAAGGTTAAATTCTTCATTTATTATCTTATGTTACCTTTATATTTAATTCATCATTGAGTTTTAACTGTGTCAAAAGTTTCCTTCTTGTTTAATAAATCAATACGCTTTCTATTTTATTTATAAAATATTGTCTCTGTATAGATCAATATGTTTGACGTTAAATATTTTATTTTGAATATCTTCTTGCATTGGCAATCATATTTTATCATGTGAAATAAATATTATTTTAAAAGTTACTTTGTTGATTTTTAAAACTAAAAAATAAATTTTTGAAATTTCAGTTTCCCATAAATTTTAGTGAATTTTTGAGAACATAATTTATTTTATTTTAAAAATATCTGCAAAATACTTTTAAAGTTTTAAGACTTATTTTTTTAATAGTTTTATTAACTTACTATATAGCATATGAAAAATTTTAAGTCTTCTAATTAATATCAATTTATGAATACAAAGTCAGTTAACCAATATATATTTTATAATTATTTCAAGAACAATTAAAACACAGTGTCTGAACATATGCTTGGTTACTTTGTTGAAAATCACAAATACAGTAATGAAATACAGTAAATACAGTAATAATATGTTCCAAATTAAGCCATACACCATAATTCAAAACTCTTGCTAAGTCTGGTTATGCTGTGATCCTGAATTTGTTTCTAACCAATTCTGGACTCTTTTCATTTCTAGAGTTCTAAATAGTTTAGTCAGCATACTCTTTACATGTTAAGATCTGATCTGATAGTGATATCTTTCCAATTGCATCATTACTGTTGACAATACTCATTTGTAAGATAAATGTGCTGTATGGTTGTGATTGAATATTAAAAGATGATGATTATATTTTCCACAATTACTATTTATAAGGACTTGCAAACTTTATCAATAAAAAAGATTCAGTAATAAGTTTAATGCTAATTGTTGTTAGTTAATCTTCATTCTTAATTATATGCACTCATATTAAATTTCTACATCATGGGAATGTATAGGGTGCAATTTTCAAATTGCAGACTTATACATTCCCACTGTTATCTGTTCAACTGTCTGCCCTTTGTTAATCTTGAGAACAGAGTTAGATGAAAATTGAGACTAGGTATGGAAAGTTTAAGGGCCAGAGTTTCCAATTAACTACATATGAACTTCTAGTCTGGACCAAAAATCACATAATTTTTAAATTAAATGATGATTAAAGATTGCAGTCCAGCATTGTCATGATGTCACAATAAATTATTGCTTGTTGACAATTAAATTTTTCTGTTTAAGTATATTTTTATTTAATTTTGATTTATTTTTAAATATTTTCTTTAACAAAATTTACATATTGTTTTCAGAAGGACCTTATACAATGTGAATAGATATTCATCAACATTAGAAGCTTTGAAACAAGTAACAAGTTTACAAGAAGGTCAAAAACTGTATGGTTTCTCAGTACAAAAGGTATTGAATTTATTTAGAAAAATATTTAAATTAGTGGACCCTTTTCTGTTCCAACAAAAATAAACACCTATTAACATAACATTCTTAAAAAGTGTCATATCATAACATATAATCTATTAACATAACATTCTTAAAAAGTTACTTTAAATTTTACATAAGCAGTCATTTAAAATTAACAAAAAGCTGTAGATTTATTTTTTACCTATAGATTTTCTGTTTTCTGCATTGTTTTTTTTTTTTTTGCATTTTTCAGTCAAGTTTAAATTCTATGTTTACTATTTTTGTTGAAGGAAATGTGACTTGAATAGCAGCTTTATTTAATAAAAAAACTGAATATATTTGTACCTTACTCAATTTTTTAAATAAAAGTTTACTTATCAATTACTGCACCTTTGATCTTTAGTGCATGGAAAGTTAGCTTTTCATTTTTTTGGTCAAAGAAACTGTACAATTCAACTAACTTGTTTGTCATTAGTTTTCTAAGAATTTTTGTTGTGGCATTATATGTGTCTTTCCTCCTAATGAAGAAAGATATAGTGTCTGTAGCAATATACAAAATATTAACATTAAAGTATAAACTTTCCTATTAGCAAATGTAAATAAAGAAATTGAATTTGAAAATGATCAAACAAATTTAACAAAATTGTTATTTATAATGATATAAAAGAAATTGTTTTAACTTACTTGCTTTCAATAGAATAGAATGCATTATAAATTCAGGCAAGATTTAATCTGCAGTAAAAAATACAATTAATATGAAATAAAATATGTACTATACAAATGTTGGTATAAATATAATCATTATGACTAGTTTTGGTTTTGACTGGTAGCTAGACACCATCTTGTCAGGACTAGTAACCTTTCATTGTACTTTATTTGCAGTGATAATTAACCAATTGTTGCACTACTAGTGAGTCTAACATTTCTTTAATACCTATTGGGAAGTAGTTAAGCCAAGTATCCATGTTCCTTGTAATAAATGTTAAGATACTTGGCTTAACTATTTCCCAATAAATGGTGAAAGTTGAAAGGTGTCCATTAAGTCTGGGAATAACCTTTATTGTTACACAATCTAAGAGTTAACAGAAATCTTGGAATTAAAAGATTTATGGTACACAATACCTTATGGATTGCAAATTTAGTATCAGGTTACTTGATATTTAAAAAAGTTTTAGAAGGATCAGTTCTTTTTAATTAATGGCATTACAATCTAAAGCATTGGCTTATTAACAAAGGATACAAAATGATAGTTCTAAGAACTATCATTTTGTATCCTTTGATAGTTCTAAGAACAAAATTTGTGAAACATTACTTGTAAAAGTATTGAAAACCTTACCAGATGTGCAATGTAAATGAATTGTTTTCCTGCAGAATAGATTATACCAATTTTAACAAAAACATGAAAATGACCAGTAGTTAAAACTTGGAAAATGAGCATATGTACAGATTGCACTTTCACCTTCTGATAACAGAGTGTTGTTTGACACTATGTAAATCTTGACAGTGTCATACATTGTTAACATGGAAACTAATTTTTGCTTTGTGCACAGGGTATTTTCAAAAAATTTATGAGAAAAATATAACTTGACATTCCATAAAATTCATCATGCCATTCAAAAACAAACAAAAAAGTACATATAACCTAATTTTTATCTCTATAACTTAACACTAGGATCAATTGTTTTTCACTGGTGACACTCAATAATAGCAATAATTCCACATGTTAACAAAGAATATAACTCTTTTTCAAAGGTGCCACTGCAAATGCTACGATGCAAATGTCAGTAACTCAAAAATAGCCACTGAATAGCCAATATATTTTAAATTAAAATTTAACTACAAATAGAAATAGTTACTATGATACATAGTTTTTTTTTTTCACTTTGGTTTTACAACATGTTGTGTTTTTTAATTAATTGGTATTGTTGTAATGGGGGTGGCAAATATTGTCTGTGAGACATTGCCAAATTTAATGTAATAAATAAATAAAATAGTTAATATATATATGAATTTGCACATGTAATACCTTTACAAAAATTCTGCTTTAAGACTAGCATTATTGCTAGTTTGTAAAATTTCTCATTTTTTGATAACTTGTCGCCTTCTCAGTCCACATTAAGTTGAATTTACAAGACTACTGTATTGTCATTAAAATACCTCTTCTTGATCATTTAAAATTACAATAAAAAGATTACACACATTTATTGAAACTTAATTTTAAAGTTCTTTCTTAATAAATTTTCTGAGATATCAGTAGAATTATTTAAATGAATATTACAGTCTTCAAACTTCTACTTCAATTTCTACTTCTACTTCAATGCTAGATTGCCAGTGTTTGATTCTGTCTGCCATATTGCTTTTTCTGTAGTTTATTCTTCTTGAAAATATAATAACAGTGCATTGACCTTTCATTGTAAGGTTATTCCATCATCAAAAGCTTTTAGGGTGTAAGAATGAATTAAGAAGAACATTTCATTTCCACTTTTATTAAAAATTGGGGTAGCCCAATTAATGTTAACTCTCTTAAAATTAAAATTAAAAAATTTTTTAAAAAGCAGACAAATATATAAAAATAAATCAAACTTAAATTTATTTTAATTTATCTTTTGTGTAAAATAATGCTAAAACAATTTCTATAGTCATGTCACAAAAGAAAAGAAAGTTATAATTAACTTAAAAAATTGTAATTAAGGATTCAAAAATACAGGCAAAATTAAATAAATAATAAATAAATAAAAATTATTAAAAA